GTCTGGCATTAATCGAAAAAGGAGACCTTATTGCCTTGTATTTTTCAAGTTCTCTTTAAAAATATCGCTGTCAATTTAACACCATGGGTTTGGATGCAAATCAGCGGTTTTAAATCTACAAACCGTGTTGATTAATATTAATATCAACGTGATGCACTCGGAGAAAAAAGTCGTATCAGTAACTATAAATTTGTAATGAAATAGCGCCTTAACTATGTACGCATTATTAAATTCTAATAAGAATGATTAGATTAAGTGAACTAAGAAAACATAGTAACATTTACCATATAATCAATTACAAATGGTTAATATTACTATATTTTTTCTCAGTTCACTTAATTTATTTATTGTTCTTATTAAAACTAATATAATACATAGTTACAAATTTGTGTACGCATTTCTCATTTATGTTTGTTTTTCGAGTTCGAAACCCGCGCCTTTTATTGTAAATGGCTTTTATTGTAAATGGTTTTCTCTTTGGTAGAAACTGAATTCCGTTACGTCCCTCTGGTGACAATGCCGCGTGCCGAGCGACTTTAGAGAAAAGGTTTTCAATGTATTCCTTAAAGTTACCTCAACAGTGATTAATTAGTTACATGATAATAGAGTATTTTATTAAAACAAAGTTTTTGTCTAAACTAGAAAAATGTAATTGTTATGTCTATTTAAGTCCAAGCAACTACTCAATGTAGTTGAGTCACTATTTCACTATCAATTAATAGCGCATACAATTTGTTACCGCGACTATATTTTTATAACATCCAGCACTACGTCAGTTTCTATTACTTTGTAAAACTAGCTACAGGTACTTCAATTGCAAAAGTTGCCAGAACTATTTCGTTTTCTCTCAGTGTTAGAATCATATATAGATACCGCATGGTGTTAAAATCCACACCGATATTTCTTAAAGGATCCGAATCTGTCCTTTCCTAAATAACTCGTTCACGCGAAACGTTCGTTCCAGAGGGGAGAAAAAAGGTGAAAAATCCACGGACGCTTGGGGAAAGTGCAGCGCGAACGTACAACGACACGTCGCAATTAGAACGTGGAACATGCGGTGAAAATGCACCGCTGTTTGCATCCGCGTCCATTTAAGTCGCTCTCAAGGCGTTCTTACGTCGTAACGGAACACCGATCGCGCTCCGCTCCGCTCCAGGGATCAGCTCGCTCGCGCGGGTTAATGAGCCTCCTCTCTCTCTCTGTGCGTACAACATGGTCGAGTGACGTTTCCACTCGGCTTCGTGCTTCCGAGATACCGATACGCCCACGTGCCACAACGTCAAGTCCCACGTATCGAAACGTACGTGCGTAGGTACTTCACCTACCGCGGCTGCTAACGTAATCGCGATGCAGCGGTGAACAGCTGCAGCGTCGCGTTGGCGCACGCCGGCATTAGAAAGGCGGCCGCGCGGGACTCGGAGGATGTCACAAGGTAAACCGCATAGCGTAACTGGGATACACACAGGGGAGTTATTGTGCATGCCTTGTACTATCCGCGCGATCGGTGGGCAATATGTACTTACGGTTTACTGGCCGCCGGCTGAAACCGAGCGGCGTGTTGTTCGAGCGTCCTTGAGAAAATTTCTCTCCTCCCGTTTTGTTGTCCGTCACTTTCGTACTCTTCTCGTACTCTTCGGAAAGCCGACACGAAGCTTCTTCGGCGACGATTTCTTTTTCAACCGCGAGACAACTGCGCGTCTCGTACGAGATTTTCTCCCCGTCAGGTTTCGTCGTATCTGTCTTGGATTATTCGAATTTCGAGAGTCGAAACGAACTCGGCCGACGTGGTGAATTCATTACGTGAGTCTTGGCGATTCGTGCATGTTATTTATGCGTGCGTTAAGCGTGCCTCGACCCGCCGCCGTCGGGCTTCAGCGGCGAACAGCCTCCGTTGGTCGATAGAGAGAGAGAGAGAGAGGGGGGGAAGGCACGAAAGAGTGCGAGAGACTGCGATCGATCAGATACATCGAGAAAAAGAGAGGAAGGGAGGGGGAGGATGAGAGTGAGAGACTGGTACAAGCGGGGGCGAGGTAAACATAAGATTACAATTTATATGAGCGGCCTCCGGACTGCATGGTTATTCACTCGCGACTTTTTATTTATGCCCCGCTGTCCTCCCACCTCCTCTCACCCCGCGTGAAACGCATCCGCGTGTATATCGCCGATCCGAGCCGTGCAACCGGCGATAATAATTTTTCATTACACCAGGTCAGACGGGAGAGAGCCGCGGTCGCCGATCAATTCTCGGAGATTCGTATTTTAATTGGAATCTGGGGATTTCACCGCGCGCAAAATTAATGAAGCAGAAGTCACGTCTGTACTACGACGATGCTACGTCGGACGATGTGAAAATCGTCCGATTAATCCGCGTTGCAGTTACAGAAAGAGCTATTTTGCTGGAGAGATAGAAATTTGAAAATAATTCTGCTGGATGGATCCCCAGCGTAAATGCTCGAAGGACGAATAATGCTCGCAAAATATGTTTACATCGTAGCGCGATTACACTATTAAATTCGTAATTTTAAACTATATCCAATTTGAGCTCGTTTCAATCTAGATCGCCATTGTGCTTATATGACGTTAATTTCACTAAACAATGAAGATAGGGTCGGTCGTTTCATCTTCAGCTAAACAATGTGGTAATTTACATGTTAGATAAAAGCATCTCTTATGCTTTTACTCTTTTGTTTATCTAATAGGTAAATTACCATACATAAACAAGAGAGCGTAGATAAACAAAAGAGTAAGAGGATAAGACAGTAAGCTGAAGTTTATCGAAAAATGGGACAATCCAGCGTTAAACAATTTAACTCCAGAAAATGTATTAAAGACTGAAATTTAGTTTATCATTTACTAAGTGCATACGTTAATATGAACGTTGTTTACTCTGAAACTAATCATAGAAATGTATTGACATTCACATTTTGACACGTGTAAAAGTTAAAAATATTGTAACAAAATGTTGTTATTTAACTCAAGGGATTGGAGTTACTATTGTATTCCTTTATACCTAATAGTGTAGTTTGAGTAATTCCAATAGAATATTATTTTGATGGTTTAACAAAATCATGTTGAAATTGATATATTCAGTAAGATTCTAGAATCGCGTTTCGCTCGATGAAGCTCTATCGCGAACGGTCGACGATTGCGTAGACGTAAAGCGATGTAACTAGAACTAGAAGGCAACAAGGACGAGTGAGAGCATTTGTGGATCGTCTGGCGACCCTTTAATAGGAATTTATGCCAAACATTCGCCTGACCTTAATTGCCGTCAGCCTGATCAATTGGCGCCAAATCGCGTCGTTCTTTGTTATAACTTCGTAGGACATAGATCAAACGCTGGCGCGAAGAGATCTGTTTAGAATAATCAACATTAATTTAAGATAGAACGATCGCTACGTCAAACGCGCCGAAGAGAACTCTTGGTATTCCAGTACGAATATTTTACGTATGGAAAATTATACGTTCGCGATGCTGTACGTCGAAGGTAAACGTCAGTAATATACGCGAAGCGATATGCGGAGCCATTGAATATTCATACGAAGTGCAGTCGCCACTTCGATACTTTCTCATAACGTCACGCATAAATACTGTTAACAGTACATCTGGAGCGAGGTGAGCGTGGATATCCACCTCGGTGGGGCAAGGTGTCCTTTTTCCAAGATACTCGAATCAAAGATTGAAAAGAAATCGCGTATATCCTCTCGCATAATTTCGTTGGTATAAATAAACTTGTCGCTTATCCTTCGTATTACGTTTGTGCGAAGTTAATGAGAAAGCAGGAAAGCGTTTTATCGTCTCGAATGAAATATTTATATATGACTCTCATAGAAATACAGTAAATTCGAGAGGTGTTTGACCTACGCCAAGAAGACGCCAAGAAGACGCCAAGAAGACGCTACAAGTTGTCGCGATAATTCATCGCTTCGCCATTAAACACGTTCCGCTGACTTATGTCGGGATATTTTCTCCATAAATATATATTATACCTCGCGATACGCTGGACGCTAAAAGCTGGCAGCGACGCCCGAAATCGATTACCGGCGTTCAGCTATAAATATTTAACCGTCGGCGGAAAGACGCGCGAGGAAATCGAATGAAAGGCTGGAACGCTCCGACGCGAACTGGGAACAACAGTAGGCCTGATTGTCATTCGACGATGCATTCACGATCGGTGACTGCCCTTGGCTGTTGATACGGAAAGACATCGCTCCGTCGACGAAACGTCGTCGTTTTAATGGCTCTCTCGGCAGTGAAGAAATAATTGTCCGGGTCACTTCTCGGTGTCGTTAAACTTGTTAAATCAGGGGTCAGTATCATCACACGGTCACACACATACACGTATACGTGGACACGCCGATGCGCATTCATCGTGTGCGTGCCACTTTCTTTAAGAGATCATACCGCGCCACTTTCACGATGCAAAAAAAGCCTCGATCGCCACGGAAGCGATTCGGGCAATTTTAACGCGAAAATTGAGCCTGGAGTAATTGCGGTGTTATTTCCTTACGTCGATAAAATTGCGGCGGAGAAGATACGTTTCTTCGAGAAGGATCCGTTCGATGTACATTGATACAATATGTGGGGGGGGGGGG